ATTTAAATATCTACTTATAAAATTTTATTTTTTAAAATATCAAATTGGTCAAAAGATTAATATTAAAATGCTGAATTAAGAAAGAAAAACAAAAGATTAATAGTAAAAACTATCATACATATGAAAAAGAAGCCTATCCTTTTATCTATAAGAGAATTTAGTTTTGTTTTCATTTATGTAAACTTTAAAAACTTTTTATAAGTTCTTATGTAATTTAAAAGCTTCAAATTAAGAGTAATAGTGATTAGAGGAGAAGATCAATGAAGGAAGGAGAGATGAACAACTTACTCCCATGCGACATCACCAACAAGCATCCAGTGACCATCCTTGTCCTCGTATGAAGGAACATAATCGGAGCCATTAAGGAGCTTGCTCTCATTCATGAAATCCTTCACTCCTTGGGATCCACAATTTCCTTCAACATTCAACAACGATTAATAAAAAAAATAAAAATAATAAGTGTCAAGAACAAGTGCTTAATCAATCATTACGTACCAATAGTGAAAAAACTGAACATTTTGGGTTAGGGCATCGGAAAGTTCCTGGTAACTTCTGTACATCCTCAAGTCCACTTGCCGGACGTAAGGTGCTCCGTCCATGCTTACCTTCACAAAGGTGGCGTTGTCGCCGGCCTTCTGAGTACTCTTCTCGCTGCTGCTCTTTTGGGTGCCTAACATGTTCTTTCAAAATGATCGGACTGGTGGCCAACCTACAACTTGCGCCCTAAAATTATAAATGAATTTTTATTTGATTAATTCAACTACATATATATACATATTCCAAATTCAATTTTACATTTTCAGCAAAAAGAAGAATTTTCGTTTTCAAATTAGATTATGAGGTTTGGAAACAAGTAATAAAGGTAAGAAAATCAATAAAAATATTGAAGGAAATGTTAGTTCTATGGAATATGATTGTTAGATGACGAGGAACAAAGTCAAATCTATAACGATTAATGAAATTAACCTTGTAAAGTAATTTATTATCATTTTTTGACTAAAAATGTCGTAGATATTATAAATGTTGAAATTTTAATTATAGACCTATTAGTAGGGTTGACAATTTAATTTATTTTCGACGGGTTTCGACCCGACCCTATGGGGTCAATTTTTTTTTTTGAAATTTGAGTTTCTGATTAGGTCGGTTTAGGTAAAATTATGAAACAATTGGGGTCAAGTTTTAGGCAAACCCAATCCGACCCGATATTATATAAAAATTTTATTTTTTAATTGATTATTTAATTATATATAATGATATTTTTAAATATTTATATTTAAAAAATAATATTTTATTAATTTCGGGTTAAGTCAGATCGGTTACGGTTTATATAATATCGGATCGGATATGAAAAAATAAACTGTAATATAATATTTGATAACACATAAGTCGGATCGGGTTCGAGACGAGTAAAATTCATCTCGAACCCGACTCGATGCCAACTCTACCTATTAAACAACATCTTTTAAAGATGATTGCGTGAGTAAATTAAATCTTAACTTCAATTTCTTACTTTTTCAATGTATATATTTTGAATTTCTTACTTTTTCAATTTCTTATTTTTACATATTAATCGAGCTTAATCGAACGAGTTCAAGTAGCTCGAATTTGATCACTAATCGAGTTCGAGCTTGAAAAATAAAACTCGATCGAGTTCGAGCTGAGTATCGAGTCGTGAGTTGTGAGTTGAGCTTCTCACTATAACAACTCGACTCAGCTCAATTACATCATAAGTTGCAGGTCGTGCATTTCATATAACCCTAACAATAGTTACAGGTCATGTATTTCATATAACTCTAGCAAGTAACCATTAATAAGACTTGAATTCAAGACCTCTTAGATAGAGAGGACAAATATTAACTAATTGAACTTACTACTTATTGATCTTTATTGATTAAATATATTACTATATTCTCCGAACAATATAATCAATAGAGGGAAAAATGGGAGGTCGAGAAGTGATAAATTATCATGTTTTCTTTTTCTCTTAATACATATATAGACTATTTGGATAATTTTGTTTTGCATTTTCAAGTTACATGTTTCATGTATAAATACATAGCATGAAAATAATTTTGATTCGTACGTAAGCATATCAATGTGAATGCAAGCTTTTTTTTTTTTTACTCGTGCTATATTTAATGTCGTCGGTCCATGGGAACAAAGCCCTAAAATTTTGTCATTAATTAATCAACAAAGTTAATATTAACTAAGTCTTAATTTCTTTGAATTTGGAGTCATAACGTTGTTCATGAAGGATCCATTTCATTCTTGTTTGTAAGTCCAAGTTATGGAAAGCAGCGCAATTAAGGCTTTAATAGAAGAAAAAACCTTAGATAAAATTTTTTAGGTGCACTTTTTCATTAAAAATAATTTAATAAAATTGATAGATTAATATAATTTAATGAGAATATCAATAATATATAAAAATGATTAAAAATATTATTTATAATTTAAATTTAAAAATATTTATTTAATTGCAAAAATTTTATCAAATTTTTTAAGAAAAAAATCTATATAAAAAATTATCAACTTTATTTAACAAAATTTTAAAATTTACACATTTAATCTATGTAATAAGATTTTTTAATTTTTTAATTTATAAATTTTAATTTTATTTAATAAATTTTAATAAAAAAATTTCACAAAATTTACTAAAAAATTTTATTAAGTTTTTCTCCCATAAAAATACAAGGTTGAAAATTTTGGCAATGATTGTGGCCCAATATTTATTCTCTTGGTGAGAAAAAACGAGAGAAGACCAACTATTGCATCGACCGTTGAAAATTTTTTGTATATCAAATCGAATCATTTAAAAGCGATGGTGATGCAAATCTCAAGGCCACATCATAATCAGATTAATATGGATTTGGTACTGCCTGCCTGTCTCACCTTTAGGTTGCCAAAATGGGCCAGGCAGATTAAACTCGTCAAGAAAGGGGCCAAAACCACTTGGAGGAGATTTGAAACTGCATGTTTGGGCCCAATCTGAGCAAGAATAATGGACCAGCTCCTGCTATTATTAGTAATCTTAACCATGTGGCTGGGAGCCACATTCATGTGTGCTAGAGATCAAACAAGATTTTGAAGAAAATTTTTGCTTTATTTTACAAATTAAACAAAAAATTGAAAGCTTAAGCCAATTAAAAAGATGGGTTGATGCATGTAAAATGGCGATGTTTAAATGAAATGGTTCATGGGCATGGGGTGATAGGAAGCAAAGGCCGAATCCAATAATTACAGGAACAGCAAGTTGGGAAATACACGAATGAATGAATTTACACTTGACTTTTGGTTTAATTATAAACATTTCTTAACTACCCAAAAAGGGGTTTAACTTCAAATTTTATGTCTCTTATAGTTTAGTTTAAATCCTAAGGAAGCGGCATTGATTTTATGTAATAAAAAATTATCTTATTTATTTTACAAACAAAGTCAGCAGGATGATATATATTTTAAAAATATCTTAAAAATAAAAATTAATTAAAAACAAAATATGTGATAATTTTTAAATTTATACACTATCAATAAATCAATAATATTATTTCATTAATAAGTAAATATAAATCTTTAAAATAAATATATAGAATTTAATTATTTTTTAAAAAATTTATTCATTAATGAATTAATATAATTTAATTCACTTCATTAATGAGATAACATCATCCTATTCATTGATAATGTATAAAATTTATAAATTGATAATATATCCAATATAAATCCTTGTAATATTGCTAGAGCATGCTTCTTTGAGAGTTAGAGAGAAATAGGCATAGGATAAAATAGTTTTATTTGCTTTTGTAATTTCAAAATTATAATTTTTTATTCATTATTGTTTATTTTAAATTCATTCATTTCGATAAAATTTAGATGAAATTTATCATTTGTATATCCACTAATATGTTAAGTGAATTTTTTTTATTCACATTAATGCATTTAGATTTGAAAAAATATTGATGAATAGATGAATTTAAAATAAATTAAAAAAATACAGATAAAAATAAAAAAATTAGATTATTGTAAATCAAAATTGAACACTAAAATAGTAATTTTTTTGGATTTTTGTAAATAAAAATTGAACACTATAAATAGTCAAGGACTAATGATGTGGTTTAGTTATGCATTTTTCCAATTTTAATAGGCCATGAAATTAAAAGATTCACATTTCTTCCATCTTGCAAAACAAAACCCATCATAATCCTTTGATAACATATAGCAGTATTTAGCTTTATGTAATGATAGTTAACTCCAAAGAGTGAGATCTATGTTTGAATTAGGGAAATAATCAAATTTGTAAACCCTCCCCATTAATAATAAGGAGAAAGAGAAGGAAATGCAAGAAAGGTAAACCATGGAAGAACAACAGTTATCAACCATTGTCCTGTAACAATTCACATGTGGATGATAATAATTTAATTCGAATCGAATTTAATTTAATTTTTTTAAATATTATATAATATTTTAAAATTTTAAATTTTGATGTAAATTTGAATTAAAATTTTATTTTATTTGAATTAAAATTTATTAATTTAATTTGATTTAATTTATCGATTTTTAATTTTTATATATTATTTTAATATATTTAATTAAAATTTAATATAAAATTATTATTTTTATTTTATAAAAATTAAAAAAATATATAATCTGATTTGACTCGATTTTTTATTTTTTAATTTAAAGTTAATATATATATTTAATACTTAAATTTAATCTAAATCAAATAAAAAAAAATCGACCCAAACAAATCCAGGCATTATAATTTCAAATCCATTTCCAGATTGCGCAAAATTTTTTCTCTACCCTGTCAGGGACAAACTCAAAGGGCCCTTCAATTGCAGACCGTTCTCAACCCACATGTAATTGACTTACCAATCAACGACATCCACGTGGGACATTTTTCACATGGGGATGTTCCCATCACCCCTCACCGACCCTTGTGATCCAACGCTCCTGGAATCACAATCCAAATTCTCCCCATCTCAACCGCCACAGTCTTCAACGCCATTGGCTGTGCTTGTCCCTCCTTTGTCCCCTTCACTTGGGCATCCAAACTCAACGCCGCCCCCACATGTGCCAGGCTGTATCCATCCAAGCCACGTGGTTCTCTCCACGTGTCCCATGGGGGTCCTACCTCCTATGGAGGGAACCCAGGCGATTGGTCATTGAGGAAGCACGTACGACACCGCGTGCTTGAGGTTCTCATTTCTCATCAATGAAAGTAATGCATGGCACGAGTGAACAAGTCACCTAGGGCGTAGATGTTGTCCCTAAAATACAAATCCTTCCCTATAAAACTGGTCCAGCTTCACATCCTTCTCATCAACACTGTTTTGGCAAACACAAAAGTAGTTTTGAAGGAACCTGCTAAAGAAAATTCCTCCGAACAAAGATTTGAAGCAAACATATTGAAGGAAAATCATTCTTCCGGCTGGGATATTATATATTGTTTCGGGAACAAATAATACATCTTGGTAGAAATGGAAAGGAGAGTGAATTACAAGAATGATGTTAATCTCAAGGCAACGGAGCTCAGGTTGGGATTGCCCGGAAGTGACGAGCCTGAGAGACAAGTGACTCCTAGTATCAGAAATAATAAGAGAACGTCATCAGAGATTTCAGAAAAGTCAAGGTCTAAGAGCAGTTCTGGCGTGACAGAGGTCGGAAATGATGATCACCATGACAGTACTGCTCCTCCTGCCAAGTAAGTATACACACGTATAAGACCTCTTGTCTTAGAAAAGTTTAGCCAATAAAGTTGAGAGTATAGGGTTTGGCTATAATAATATTGAGTTAATGACTTGTTTCGACAGAATATTAATGTAAAATTTCATGAATTATTAATGCAGGGCGCAAGTAATTGTAGGATGGCCACCAATTCGATCTTACAGGAAAAGTTGTTTACAGACCAATGAAAACGAGGTTGAAGGGGCTGGGATGTATGTCAAAGTAAGCGTTGATGGAGCTCCTTATCTCAGAAAGATTGATCTCAAGGTTCACAGAAGCTACCCTGAACTCCTTGAGGCTTTGGAAAACATGTTCAAGCTCACCATTGGTAAGAACCAACGATGGTAATATAATATATATGAAACTATAAATGGTGATTGTGGAGTAATAATTTTGTAGTGCTAGAGCTGATGGTTTTTTTTTCCTTTTATCTGCAATTTGTAGGCGCATACTCAGAGCGAGAAGGCTACAATGGATCTGACTATGCTCCAACTTATGAAGACAAAGATGGTGATTGGATGCTTGTTGGAGATGTTCCCTGGCAGTAAGTTATTTCTCCATAGTTATTTCTGTTTTTAACTTTATAAGTTTCAATTGTTTTTACCAATGAACTCATATTTTTATTACCTTTTTGTTTACAGAATGTTCATCTCCTCCTGCAAGAGGCTGAGAATCATTAAAGGATCAGAAGCCAGAGGCTTGGGCTGTATATGAGACACCCACAAAGAACAAATTGTTTAACAAAGGATATGATCGAAAGGCAGGAAAGAATAGTATAGTTGAGATCAACTGTACAAAGGAAATTACCATTTTTCCAGGATGAGCACATGTAACTGGAAGATGAAATGAAAAGCAAGAACTATATATTTATGTGTAAAGTTTTGTATGTGCTATTCTGATTGGAAGTTTGGAACAAATAGCAAGGGTGTAAATCTCATGTGATTTGCATAAAAAATTTCAAAGATCACAATACAAGATGGTCTCACTTGAGTAAAACAAATCCTAGCTAAAGGATTCGGGATTAGAAATTTTATGCAAGAAATATCAAGGACTAGAAGTTGCCTGTTGTCGGAGGAAAGATAAGATTTTTTTTTTATTTCATATATAATATATAAAAATTATCATGTCATAATTCATATTGACATCTCATTAAATACAAAACATATTTTTTAATTTTGTCAAACCGATATTCAATTTTTATTAAAATTTTAATTTGTCACTTTTTTTTTTTTTTTCATATTGTCTTCGTATCATATTATCATAATTTGTTTAAAATTAATCAGATCTAGTTTTTCTCGTTTGCAACGATAACCTCAGAAAAGTGAGACCAAAGTAACTAAAAACATGGGCAGGGACAACAGCTAGAACAATCCTGAAATTCTTTTCTTCCCTATCTAATGATAGCTCTCAGCGACTTGCATCAAACAGAATTCAATTTTTTGAAATCTAACAAAATGATAAAACTCATTAAGTAATGCAAAAGAGCCAGAGGATAAAGACCAAGAGCAGTCCTATGACAAAAGAAGCAACAAAATAAGCCAATTCGGGAGAAGGGTTAAAAAGGTTCATTTGGCCAGTGTCCTATATACAAAAGACCAATTAAAGTCTGGTTATTGGCTCAATGGATTATTACTTCAATTATGCTTTTAATACTTGAGGAATATGATGGGAAAATAAGGGCAAGCATTTGGAGCATACTCTCCAATCAAAGGAGGGCAAACGAGAAACATGTCAAATATCGAGTTAAAGCAAATGTAGGATACATGCTGTTGTTTAGAGAAGCCATATTATCTCAGGCCAGATTTATACTAATGCATGTCTAAAACAGAATTCTAGCTTGACAACAAGGACAGAGGGACAGATTCCATCTTGAACTGCTGCCTAGGCAGATATTATCACTTCAAATAATCAGGATCAGTATGTGCAGTCCAGAAAAGCAATGACTAGTGTGAAAGCAACCTTTCAACTAAAACTGTCAGCATTTAATTTCCCACAATACATATAGTATATAACCTAATAAATATGGCAAGAGAGAGTTTAAACGGGAGGTTAATATAAGGGAGATGCAATTCAATTAACTTTAAAGCCATATCACATATAATTGTATAAATTGAATGAAGAATACAGATTTAGATTGTGGATCACACTTGGGATCCAATGGACAAAATAAAGGTAGTAAAATGTGGTAGAGGTTCAACATCTATCATCCATATACTGGGAGAGGAGGAAAGAGAGCAGAAAAAAAGATCCTTATTAAGTTATTAATTCGACTCTTCAATATAGATAATTTAATTTAGATCTGATCCAGTGCCCATGCATAACATGCTTGCCACTCTATCAGAACAATAAACCAGGTTAAAGGATTTGAATTGATTAGGGAATCATCAAATTCTTCATGATAATTAGAGAGGGAAGGCCAGTAGGCCACCAAAAGACAAATCTATTCCACTGAGAAACATAATTGATCATATTTCAGAAATTCAAGAAGACAAACGAAAGCAGATAAAACTAGAACTTGCAGAAGATCAATGTTTTACAAGACAGACTATACATCTGAAGGCTATTGAGACTTAACAAAAACTTCCTCGTGGAAAATGTCAGCACCGTGCCAAGGGTAATCAGCTTATAGCAACATTATAAACACAGGACTAGAAACCATTAGAAAGGCATGAGATTATCACCAGCCATTGAAGCGTGCATCCTTTCATCCTCATCTTTGAGAGAGCTCATTCTAGAATCCAGTATTGCCAATTGGGACTTCACCCAGTGTGGATTATTCCTACCTTCAACCCATAGTGCTTCTCCGGTATCCTTATGCTTAAAATCTGGAGATTTTGGGCTCCTCTTTACATGGCGAAACAAACAGTTAACACAAAGTGCTAGCAAAAATTCCAATAGTAAAGCATTTAATTCTGTTGGTTCAAGTGTGCCAGAATCCTAAAAGATGTAACTCATCCATCTAATTCCAGAGTTATAATTATATTTTTCAGTCAAGAATGCAAATTCTTGTTTTGACTCAAGAGCTTCTTAGGCTAGTTTTTACAAAAACTTAATATGATCTTGATGCATGTAAAGCATTGGCAATACACCAACTACAGCCTAATCCTTTTAATTGCATTCAGTTTTAAAGACTGAATATGTACATATAAAAGCACACAACCACATCGATTATAATGCAACACGTTTCGGAATTCCAAATGAGGTTCAACATCTACCTTGTTCTTCCTATTATCCCACCATTCTGCAGGATTAGCAAAAAAAGCTTGCCATAGTTCCACAGTAGAGCCCATATTATTCGCTCCATTGTTGCCAAATTTCCTATCTGCAAAATTAAATCCAATAATAAAAAAAAGAAGAATAAGAAGAAAAAAATCAGATTGCTAATTTGTGCAGAATGCGTTTGAGCCATTCAGGAAATACGCCTTACTTGGCATCCCACTTAACCCACGATCATATGAAGCCATTGAGAGGAAGTTCCTTTCCACAAAATTCATTTGTTGGACAACTATCTACAGTGTTATATCAGAAATAAGAACAATAATAAGAATATAGTTCAAATTTTCAATGAGCCAAGAAAAAACAAAGGGGATTATAGTAATTGTGAGCACCTTGTAATAAGTCTGCCGTTTGCCATCTTCACTTTCAACCGTGTCCGAAATTAGACGGCCACAAACATATATTTGTTGCCCTTTCTCGACATGCTGATACGCAGTATTCGCCAGCTCATCCCAGAATGTCAAATTAATCCTAACCATTTTTTTCGATAAGAAAAAAAGGATAAACAAAATGATAAACTTGGGCATCAAAGGCACATTTTGGGCTAAATTTTCATACATTCCCTAAAAGAGCATATAAAAAATTACCATGTGGTTTCGGTAGGGGATTTTTTGACTGCAAGTTGCGTCCAAGCCAGGACTTTCCCCGATGGCAAGTGCTTGATTTCAACGGGAGCGCCGACATAGCCGATGAGGTGCACCGTATTACAGAGGTCCTTGCTCCAAGGGATTTCTGAGGGTTTTGGGTACGATGCTTGAAGGTTGTAGTGTTGGTCTCTGTAATCGACGGAGCATTTCGGCGTTCGAATGGAACGCGGTCGTTTGTTGATGACAAAAGACGAGTTATGGGGAGTCGGAGCTGAGGAGAGAATTGGGGTTTGGGTTTTAGGGTAAGGGTTTTGGGGGACGGTGAAGAATAAGTTTCTGCTTGATATTAGCGTTAGCCCAAACGCCATCGCCACTCTATCTCTTTAGCTTTTGGCGGACGACTGGCGCCAAAGTGTGAAGTAGAAGGCTGCAAGCAAAACTGCCGAATGAGAAATGTTTTGGTTTCTTTGCCTGCCTCGCTTATCCGGATTCTCGCGAGGGTTTAACTTTATTTTTAGTTGTCCTGTCCCAAATGCTCGAGAAGATATCTGCTGTCTGCACAGTGCTGGGCACGTGGATTGGGCTGGTTGCTGGCTCGTTCTCTACTAAATGGACTACTAACATCAGCACCAATCTTGGGCTTTTCAGCAAGCTTAAGTCCACTTTCTTTTTTTTTTTTTTTTCAAAAATATGACGAAATTTTGTCTCATGGCATAAAAACACCACAAATATCACGCTAGAGTCTAGAGTATTTATTTATAATTTTTTTTTTTTGTATTTGAAGTTATTAAATTTTAATTACTCAAATTAAAAATTTGATAGAGACAAGATTCGAGTTCGAAGCAGGCCAAGCCCAAAGAGCAACTGATCCAATTTTTCTGGTAGGCCCAATAGTTTAATGGAGTCATAGGGCCAATCAAACCACGCACACGCCCAATTTGTAAATGCTAGCGATTGAGCACCTGTAGTTTGTTTCTTTGTTTCCTTCTTCTTTCCAAATCTCTCCTCCGTTCTCTAGTTTTACTCCAGTATTTCATTGGGTTTAACAAAGGAGGGTCTAAAAAACTTCTCCTGAAAATGCTTGCTCGGCTCGCGTCCCAGCGTCTTCTCGACATCCGTCAAGCTTTCCGTCAATCTGTTCAGGTATTCCCCTTCGTTTTTCCTTTTCATTTTCCCTCAATTTCTGCTCATCCCAACACCTCTCGATCTCATTCCCCCCCTTTTTTTTTCTGTTCCGCAGGCGTGCCGATCCTTCTCCACTGCCTTGAACTATGTAAGTTCCAATCTTCCCAGATTACAATGCCAATTTTCCGGGATTTTCCCCTAATACTACTACAAAAGACAGTTGATTGAGTGAATTTGGTGTAATTTTTTTGCTGCAGCACCTTGATAGCCCAGATAACAATCCCAACCTTCCGTGGGAATTTTCCGAGGCCAACAAAGGAAGGGTTAGTTCAAATTCAAATGCTTGCATTTGCATTTGGAGCTATAGGTTATATTTTTCCATCATTGTAGATTTAAAAGCTTTTGACTTTGATGGTGTATTGTAAATTGGGATTTGGGATTGGGTAAAGTTAATAAATTTATGACTGGTTTGTTAAAATTTAAGGAACTCCTATAAACTCCACTAAGTGTAAGATATTTCACAACTTATATGAACTTAAAGATTCTTATTTTATGTATGGTTGTTTGTTCTATGAATTCTGTGAGGGTAGAATAGAATTTTTTTCTCTCCTTGTAACATAAATGTCTTTTGAATTGTATGGAAGTTGAATCAGTTCTAAGTTTAGCAGAGATATTTTTAGTGGCTTAGTAATTGGTAACATTTTTTAAATCCAAAATTGATTATGGTCCTAATCCTAACTTATTATGCATAGGTTAAGGAGATATTGTCTCATTATCCATCCAACTACAAGCAATCTGCAGTTATTCCTTTGTTAGATCTTGCACAGCAGCAGCATGGAGGGTGGCTTCCTGTTTCAGCAATGAATGCAGTATGTGGCATGAATAATGTTAAATTAATTTGATGACATGCTTTAATACTCTTGGACTGGTAATTTTCAAATGTTTAGAAATTCAGTGATATATAGTTAATATGAAGAATTAGACCTATGATTTTATTAGACATGAAACTAACCACTTTTGGAGGTAAATTCCAGTATCTTTTTGGCTTAATATTAAATGTTTGCCGTTCCATTTGGTTTTTGGTTTTCAATAAATATGCTGTTTTTAAGCCAAAATTCATCACAAACGTGTATTTCATGATGTATGTTGTATTTTGGTTTGTAATGTATAATGCAAAATATAATAGAAAAGAGTTGCTTTTAAATAAACTTTTTGTTCAAATCAAAGCTTTTAAGCACTTAACGAACTAGAAGAAAGTTTTTCCCAAATCATATTTTATTATATTTTCAATAATTTCCCTGATCTACTATCAGATAAATTACTGATGTCTTTTTAAGTACTCCTTTTATAAGTAATTTTTGCCCATATGTGATGGCTTTCATGCATACTCTATATTGCTGATGAACTTTGAGCAAGGAGGTGGCAAATTAGATACAGCCGACAGCTGATCTGCTACTAATATCTGGAAAAAGGACTACTAGAGTGTTCAGAAGGCTAGCAAATTGCTTATGTTCGTTACCATATGCATTGCTACTTTTATCATTGTTTTAGACAATTCCATGCTAGGTATTCTGTGAAGGATATTAGACTGCAGTTGATGCTGGATCATGCAAAATGCCCTGTACTTTTACTCTTACTGGAGTGTGCATAGCAAAAGGGGAAAACTTAAGCATGTTGGTACTTGAACTGTGATACTTGATCTTGTGTTAATATACAATTTAATGTGACTGAAGATTCAAGTTAATGAGCTTAGGGCTATTAAAAAGGAAAATTTGATGCTACTATAGGACTCCAAAGCAAGATAATTACATCTAAAATTATTTGAGCTGAGGTTCAATTTGATTGTTAGACTGAGATACATAATTGTAACATTTTAATATTTGTATTATCAATAGCTAGTGTTCATTTATCTGAAATCATGTAAGAGTGGTAATTGGCTAGATCTTTTAACCACTGAAACAGTGCTTGCTTATCACTTGTGGGTCATGTAGTCCTAAAAAGGTGTTACTTTGTTATTAGATTTCTGCTTGAAATGAAATACTGGTAATATTGTAGAGAGAATTCAGCTTTTCTTCTGTGGCTAAGCAAATTAAATCTTTGTTGCCATAGATGACATCCATTGAATTTTCATTCAGCTGATTTGAATGGTGCAGTCCTTTTTAAAGGCAAAAGCTAAATGAATTGTATTTGGAATCAATTATGTAATGGATTGTGCAGGTTGCGAAGGTTATAGAAGTTGCTCCTATCCGTGTATATGAGGTTGCGACTTTTTATTCAATGTTCAACAGGTCAAAGGTCAGAATTTATATCTTTGTTTTGCACCTTGAGACCGTCTCTTTATGTACCTGTCTCAATGAGCAAAGATGCAGTACCCACATGAGTTTATTCAATTGCTTCTCAGGTTGGCAAGTATCATCTATTGGTTTGTGGCACAACACCTTGTATGATACGTGGTTCACGAGAAATTGAAGAAGCATTATTGAAACACTTGGGTGTTAAGCGCAATGGTAAGTGTTGAACTTACATCATGCAGAACTTATGTCACAGTTTGAAAATTTAGATAGTATTGAAGATTATCTATTGTTTCTGTTGTTCAGAGGTAACAAAGGATGGTTTATTTTCAGTTGGAGAAATGGAATGTATGGTAAGTCTTTTCCTTTACATGTTAACTATCGATATCTGTATTTTTTAATTAGCTTTTTAGCTTTGATTTTGTTGGTATATAGAAGTCGGCATGGCAATTATTATATTTATCAATTTATGGCTAGTGTTCCTGGAGGATCTCTGAAGAACAAATGCATGAAAAGGATTTCTACCTAGGATACTGGAAATTTCCTTGTGCAGTTTGCAATGATTGAAAACCTGTACACAATAACCTATGGGGTATTTTTGGCATGGCTTACCTTATTATCCATGTATTGCTACTTGTCCTTGCTGCTATGGTATTTGTAAGACGAATTGCAATCTGGAGATCAAATTCTATGCTATGCTGACCTTTTTCCTTCATTAGACCGATAGGTTTGACATTTTACTAATTGGTTTTCTGCAGGGATGTTGTGTAAATGCTCCTATGATCACGGTTGCTGATTACTCCAATGGATCTGAAGGATATTCGTATAATTACTATGTGGGTTTCATAAGAATTCCTTTCAACTTTTTCTATTTACCATCTGAAATTTGATTTTTGCATTTCATGTTTAACAATGCAGGAAGATGTTACTCCGCAACGAGTTGTTGAGATAGTTGAGATGCTAAGAAGGGGAGAGAAGCCACCGGTAAGCAACTGTGTGGCAAATGTTTGGTTTTCCTCACAGTACTTTAGGGTGCTCGAGTTTATTGGTTCTGTTTGCATGGTGATGCCACTAATGTAAGTTTTGATTTCTCTTCTATATCTCAGCCTGGCACTCAAAATCCTAAACGTATCAAGAGTGGACCAGAAGGAGGAAATACCACTTTGCTGAGCGATCCAAAACCTCCCCCATGCCGAGATCTTGATGCCTGCTAATGTTAAAATGCCAATGCTGTCTCCAATAATGCAAAGCTTGGATATTGCCATGCTGCACTGGGGTGTATGATCTTGTTGAATTTGTCAAGCTCAACCAACCAGTTTTTTTTTTTTAATTCTCTGTCAATATGACGTCTATTGAATTTTTCATGCAATTTCAACTTGGTATAAGTTATGAGATGACTCAAATTGCTTTGTACCGGATGATTGATGTCAATGTTTTCGCTACAATCCTTGATGGAAGCAGGCCATAATTGTTCTAGCATTGGAATGCTTCAATGCTATTTTGAAGCTGAACTGAAAACATGGGATTTTCTCGCTTACTACCGCCAAGAACCACCGGGAAAGGTGATGTAGTTTAATCTTTCTCCATTACCGCATGCATGACAAAACACCGGATCGAAGTACTGCGGAAAGCACTTGAAAAAAAAAAACCCTTTAAAACATCAACATGATGTCATCGAAATCGAGGGCTTTTATATACTGTTGCTGAAAATGTCTGTTGCTTGGGATGGATTATCTCATTAATACAACTTTTCCAGGTGGCTTAGTGTCAAAATCTAGAAATACTTCAACTGACGGCAAAACCCAGCCCCATCATCTCTTTTTCCTCTGCCCAATGATCTTACCATCCAACAATGGTTCGGTAGAATTTGAAGAAGGAAGCCGAAGTACTTATGGAAAAACAACCAAGATCCCCCCTGTACAAAGGAAGCACAATCAAGTATCAGTTGGTCCATAGCAACAAGCATTTTAGAATAGCCAACCATCATCCATTCTACCGCAAGCACGCACGCACGCACACACATACATATATATACTGTCATCTATCTATTTTTGCAGGTCCGACAACCAACTGATAAAAAATCAGAGACCCACTTCAAAAGTGATTCCATCA